CAAGAAAGAAGAGCAAGACACATTGCAACTACTACTAATTTTATTTTTCACGGCAATCCTTTTTATAATCAGTAAATCGCGTATAGAAAAATAGACTATATTTTTAGCACATCTTGACCAGTATTACACACTCAAAAACACACACAAAGACACACACACACACACATACGAACACCCACACAAACACACGCACACTCACATACAAACTCACACACACACTCACACCCAAACACACACACTCACACCCAAACACACACACACACAGACAAGCACACACACACACACTCGCATACAAACACGCACACACATGAACACGAACAGTTGGAGGGAACACAGAAAGGGCCTAGGCTAGGTCAGAACTACATTCTTTCGTGCGTGTCTCTCACGATACATTGTAGGCTACCACAGATACATTGTTGTAGGCTACCACAGATACATTGTAGGCTACCACACGAACGTGGAAGTTTGGTGTGTTCGACCTGTTAGAGTTAAAAAGGCCACGCAAAAGGTGGATCGAAGGTGTCAATGAAGCCCTAAAAAAACATAATATCACAACTGAAAGAACTGTGGAGCTGGCCTACCATAATAATAATAATAATAATAATAATAATAATGGATTGCAATTATATAGCGCATATCCACTTATGCAATGCTCTATGCGCTTAACATGATACATACATTATGTACATACATATTATGGATTTACAAATCAATTTTAAAGGCACATAGTGTTACATACGTGTGCCCACACATACTCAGGCACGCAGGCACCACACACACATACGTACATACGCACATACAAACTCACAACGATCTACAGCCTGGATGGATTCTGTCTAATTGAAATATGATGAAAATAGAAATGCCTTTAGTTTCTTCTGAAAAATTTCTAGATTTTCTGCTTCTCTGATAGTTTTTGGAAGCCTATTCCAAACAAGTGGGGCAAAATATGAAAAGAGCGTTGGCCATATGATTTGTAATTTATTTTAGGCTTAACAAGGGTTGTTTTGTCACTTGATGATCTGAGCGTTCTAGATGGTACATAGGGTGTTAAAAACTGTTTTAGATAGTCCGGTGATAAATCATGTAAGCACTTGTAGCAAATTAAACAGATTTTATATAATTCTACTCTGCTTGAACGAGAAATGTCCCCCCTTTGGGAATGGCCTAAAGACACTACAGTCAGTGACACTGCCCCGGGGGGTATGGCCACCCAGTTTGAACCAAAAATTAAGTAAGTGTGTAGTGTGTTGTTATGTTGAAACGACTATAAATTCTCCTAGTTTTGGCAAGTAGAACCACTTTCGGTCGACATGGAGCAAGAACTAACTACGTACGTTACGAAAAGGGGACCCCAAGTTGTTGCAGTTTCAGGATTTAAGTTTCGTTTGGACAAGAATCAACAAAACAGCAAAAGGTGGAAATGCACTACTGAAACATGCAAGGTGAGATGCACGACAGACAGAGACATGAAACACATTCTGGAGGGGCATTTTGAGCATAACCACGACATGGAAGGCGATGAAAGGAAAGTCAAAGTCAAAGATGCCCAAGAACGCTGCAAAAAACAGGCGCTGTGTGAACCAGATGAGCGCCCATCTAAGGTTTTTATAAAAGAAGTCAGAGACACTAAATGTTTGCCTGGGGAGTACCAGAATATTCGGCAGGCCATTTGTAGACAACGAATGAAACTACAAGAAACATTACCAACGACCAGACTTGAACTTGTACAAAGATTGGAGGATGGTACATTTCAAAAACCGGATGGAGTGATTACAGCCGTGCAAAATGAAATTGTGCTCATTACGTTTTCCGAAAACATGAACATTATTGACAACAGAAACGAGTTCTTTGGCGACGGTACCTTCAGATACAGCCCTGCATTCTATTACCAAGTTTACACCATCCACACAGAGTGTCTAGGACATGACGTGCCATTGTTCTACTGCCTTCTTCCAGCAAAGTCCAGAGAAGTCGACAGAAATATGCTACAAATTCTCACAGGGGAATGCCAGAAGTGTGATGTGGAGTTCAGTCCAAGTTTGATCCTCCTTGAGTTGACGACTCGTCCAGTTTTTACAGACACATTCCCCACTACACAAGTCAAAGCATGCGTTTTCCACCTGAAGCAGAGCTGGCGAAGAAAAATAAATGAAGTCTGTCTAAAAAAATCATACGAAGACAAACAGTCAGAAATCAGCCAGTGGCTTAGAATCGTTTTTAGAATGTGCTTTCTTTCCCCAAAAGAAATAGATTATTTTGCCCTCCACGCTATGGCAAATGTGCCGAAAGACCAAAAAGTTCAAGATTTTTTGGACTACATTTTTGAAGTATACTGTGGACCATTGGCAACATTTCCACCAAAGCTTTGGACGTCTCAAGAAATCTGTGCCAGGTACAAACTGTCGTGAAAGTTTTCACAGTTCCTTTGGCCACCATTTCCTCTCTCCGTCACCAAACATATTCTTGTTCCTCAGAAAACTCAACGACCACCAGCAACTAACAAAGTTACAACTGAAGGCAATAAATGTCAAACAAACAGCTCCTATCAGACCAGCGGAAGCTACAAAAAGAAAGAAATGGACCGAAATACAATACAGATACAATACGGGGCAAATTAACGTCAAGTACATGAGCTACAAGCTTTTTGAAACAACTTTGGAGTTTGACAAAGATTTGATCTGACATCACCGTTTTCTCTTCACTGTTGACGCTGTGACGCTTTTAAAATACAACTTTGGATTTTTACAACGACTCTGTAGCTGAGACATGCCATTATATAAACCCATCCTGCTCAAAGTCCTACTTCCAAAACATATTCTTGTTCCCAAGAAAACTCAACGACCGCCAGCAACAAACGAAGTTACAACTTGAACGCAATAAATTGAAAACAAACAGCCCCCATCGGGCTGTCATGTAATTATATAAACCTATCCTGCTCAAAGTCAAAGTCCTACTTCCACAGTAGTCCCCCTGTTGCGTCATTTGCGGCGAAACCTACTGCTGCTGCTGCTGCTGCTGCTGCTGCTGCTATATAGTTGTAATGGAATTCAATCTGCGGCGAAATGATACAGGTACCCGACGTGACGTAGTTGCGGCAAAACGTGGACCTCCCCTCCTAATTTTCTGCCAACAATCCTGAAGTATTCGACATAAGTGAGCGCGGCCTTCCTTTCCTGCCGCGGCGATTGTGCATACAACTACTACTACAACTACAATCAGGATGCAAACACCCGCAACGCCTCCATAATGTTCTTGTCCAGATCCCGTTTCTTTGTCCTTTCCGAACTCCTTGCTGATTCTTTCCTTTGGTTCACTTTCACTTTTAGATTCCTTTACTTTGATGCTGCTTCTTTCCTTTGGTTCACTTTCACTTTTAGATTCCTTTACTTTGGTGAAGGCAGCTTCCTTTTGATTTCTTGACAGCCGTCCAATTTTGTCAGCATTCATCCACCTGTTAAAGAAAGCACGAGTGATTAAATGTCTTACCCCCTCATGGACAAAATTTTATTCATTTGGGATCTGGGCTTCTGCGGCCCCTCTTGTCCAAGCTAACATTAATAATAATAATAATAATGATAACAATAATAATAATAATGACACTACTAACAACAATAACAACAACAACAACAGCAATAATAATAACAACAATAATAGAATAAAAAAGAAAGAATCAGGGACTTTCTCTTTCTTTCGGTTTACCGCTGTTTTTGAATTAAATGTGAGGCAGCGTGGTGGAATCAGGCTCTCGTCAAAATAATCAAAGTGAAGAAACTTGCATTTTTCCTCAGGTTTGTGAATTTTTATCAAAATTTTGTTTTTTGGCTCAACACCTTTCATGCCCATTAAAGAACTCATTTCTGTGTGAATTTTTCTCAAAACTGTTGATTAAAAGCACAAAAAATGTAAATGTTCAGTTACTACGGACAATTAAGCTAAGGAAATAACTTATTTTTGGCGGCTATTTTCTCACTAATTTTACCTCTAAAAACAGGTGACCCCACTTCCTTCATTCACAAATATCTCTACTTGCATTCAAGAAAAATATATATTTTTTTCAACCAAATAAAGACAAGTGAACAAGCTTTAGGATAATACGAATAACACTACATGTCAAAAATTTGACGAGAGCCTGATTCCATCACACTGCCTCACAAATGTGTTCCGTTTAAGCGAACTTAGCTATATAGGAACGGGAACTAAGGGTATGATCAACATTCCAACTCGCAGTTTAATGTCATCGGCTGACGAAAAGAAATTTCTTTGACCGTCTATGAAACTTCAAACAAAGGGTGAAAAGGCATTTGGTAAGATTGAAGAATACCGGACCAGCGGACTGACTTTGCCTATGTCTCAACCTTAGTAATTCATAATTTGCCCGTTTTTAATATCTCTCTCAATGGAGAATCTCGGATCGGTAGATCTATTCATTAAGATTTTGTACTTTCCCCGGGGTTGAGAGCTATTTGAAATATGTGAGGCATGGTGAAATCAGGCGCTCGTCAAAATAATTTCATGGAAGTTACCCACTTCTTTCTGGCCTCTGCTCAAGTTTGATCCATTTATTTTGTGTGGCTCAGAACCTTTTAGATCTGTATCCACTTAAAACACAATTAATTTCGTGTATTTTTTACTGAGACGTTTATTAAAGATGCAAAAAATGTAAATGTGTAGATCTAGTTTCCAAGGACTCTAAAGCTTTGGAAGTCACCAAGCTTTGGCGGCCATTTTTTCGCTAATTCTGCCCGTGAAATCAAGCAGCCCCATCTCATTCAATAGCAAATATCTCAGCTTCTATTTCAGATAAATGAGTATTTAAAAAAATCAAAAGCACAACAAACGAACAAGCTTTAAGATGATACTTTCACTAACTCCACAATCCCAAAAATTGACGAGCGCCTGATTCCACCGCGTCATGACTCACATGTCATTTCTTGTTACTAACGAGCACATGGCGTTGTCATATTATGGCATTTCCGGTTACTAACGAGCACATGGCGTTGTCATATTATGGCATTTCCGGTTACTAACGAGCACATGGCGTTGTCATATTATGACATTTCCTGTTACTTACGAGCACATGACGTTGCCATTTTCCTTGCCGTAGTTTCCCAGACAACACATGATAGTGCCATCACCTCGACATGCCGAGCCGGGCCGACGAACCCATCCTTCCGGGCAGTGCTCGGGACAAGGGCGGCACTGAACACATCAGAAACATTACATGAGATATCTAGTGCTTTTATTTGCTCAGCAACAACAAACAAAAAGATAAAGAAAAACAACCCCCCCCCCCCAAAAAAAAACCCCCACCAAAAAACCAAAATGCGTTATTTGCACAGGTGACTCTTTCTGACAAGTGACAATGACTGGTAATAATAATAAATAATAAATAGCGTTTGTATAACGCATAACCCCGCTCAACAGCAGGCTCTATGCGCTTTACACTATATTATTACCCCCACCAGACCATAGAACACTCAGAAACATTCTCAGCTTCTCGGGAAGCATACAGTACAAGCAGCTGATTAAGCGCTCAAACACTAACAAACTGACAAAATCTTTCACTGTCTATAGCCGGGTACCCATTCCCACCTGGGTGAAGTGGGGAACATTTGTGTAAAGTTCCTTTCCCAAGGACACTACATCTGGCCCATGACGGGATTCGAACCCACATCCATGAGGGCTCTCGTGGTCTAGAGGTTACGGTGTTCACCTCTCACTCAATAGGTGCCGGGTCAAATCAGGATAGCGACTGACAATTTTCTTGTCTAAAATTGTTTCCTTTCACCTCCTTTCCTGCTCTCTAGCAATGTTTTGTCGTCTGCTTTCGTCTCCTCTTTCTGCCCCCACCCCCTCACCTCCTTTGCCCCCTCCTCTGGGCCCCTGACCTCTTTCTGCAGCCTTTCTACTGCTACTCCTTGGCTCCTTCTTACTGCTGTCTTTCTACTGCTACTCCTTGGCCCCTTCTTACTGCAGTCTTTCAGCCACACCCCTGATCTTGTTGTAGGTAAGATCTACACCTAGCCTTCTCGGAATAAAGGCGAAAAACCTTAGAGGTCCCAAGTGCAAGTTGCGCACGTTAAAGATCCCTTGGTGGTCCAAAATCGATAAGTGTAGGCTTCGGCCGCCACCCTGGCAAAATTCAAAATTTCCTACCAACTGAAAATGTTTAATACGTGTCCCTCGCGCTCATATGACCGCATGCAGTTGCGAGCGCCGTAAAACACTTACAAAAAAAAAAAAGTCCGGACCTCAGGGTTGCAAGTCGGACTGTATTACATAGGGCAGGAGATATCCAGAGATGTCCCCGGCGTCAAGCTGCGTATTATTTGCTGCAGATCACACAAGACCAGACCATCAATGATTTATTTATAGAGGCACCAGCCATCCATGTCCAGGTGCTGTTTTAGCCTCTTTTTCCTGTATTCGGATTAATAATTTTTTTGGGCCAATTTATTGGTTCCGTTTCTATGTACCCCATATAGATATCTATGGTTTTCAACCTGGAAATCGCCTATAATTCGCTCATAGAAGCAGATCACACAAATAGCAACTAAAACTGTCGCAAATCAATTATTTTCAAGAAAATTTCAAACTTAACTGCAAAAAATCAAATTATTAGTTAAATCACCC